TGCAGGGGGGCATTGGGATCTGGCGTGTTGAACTCTAAGAAATCTCTAAGCGGTTTAGGAATATGGGGGTTTGCGGCTTAGAAGTTTGGAAATGAAGGGTTTAGGGCCTTTGTCGAAGCTTCTGGTTTTGAGCTGAACTCAGCTAGACTAGACTTGTAATTGTAGTGTCTCCAGTGCAGGAAGAAGGACTTGCGGAGCTATCTTGCCTGATGGTGGTGGGTGTAATCGCGCATGTCTTTAAAGGGAACTCCAGAAAGTTGGAATATGGTTTCAGGGTAGGATACCTTATAATTTGCCTTAAAGGGTTTAGGATAATCATATTCCAACTTTCTGGCTTTTACTTTACAGAAATCAGAGCAGGCGGGCGGGGGTCCTAGAAGGATCGTGGTATCATGTCAGGGTCGGTAGTTGGGTTCCACGTTGTCCCATGTTTTGTGAGACTCCCACATGAAGATATGGGTAGTTGTCAAAATCAGGGCCCCTTTTGGGGTACCCTAACTAGAAGCCGTATTATATTAGGGACCCAAAAAGGGACCATAATTTTGACCACCAACCATATGTACATGTGCCCAGGCCCTCGCATCTGTTGCATAGTCGAGCATCCCTGGACCTGGTCATTATCTCCAGGTTGCTCCTGGAAGGAGGCCGAAACAACGGCACAGAGGGCTACCCCACCCTAAACCCCAAACACCCTCAAGCTTTGTACCTTTAAGCCCCATACCCTACGCCCATTCAAGCCCTGTATACCGCGTAAACCCTATCAGGAGTTGCAGAAGCAGCGACCGAAGCGCTTCGTCGTCTGCACCATGCGCGGCTTCCTCAACGTTCACACAGAGCCAGATGATCCCTATAGGCGCCCGACATGCAGCACTAGCAGTACATATATATATATATAGAGAGAGAGAGAGAGAGAGAGACATGTACACATGTGCATATATGACATGATGAGACAACACATGTTCGTCTATTGCAGTATCGTGTGGAACATCTCTTGCTTGGTGCACCCGAACTGGGGGGCAAAGGGTTTTGGATTCAGAGTCACAGTCATGGCTCTGGATTTCGGTTCGATGCTCGGGCCTGGACTTCAGAAGAGTGGGAGGAAATAGATCTGCCCCAGCCCGATGTGGAGTCGTCAGGTTTCATGTTCGCAAATCTGGCACCCATGGGATGCGTTTAAACCCTAAACCCCTAAACCCTAAGCCCCTAAACCCCCAAAACCCCTAAACCCAAAACCCTCACACATTCGGTGAGTTTAGGTCAATTTTCGTTGGGCTTCGGATCGAATCTTCGAGAGCTCCTCTGCGGCAAGCAGGGGAGCGCAGCATGCGTGTTTAATATACTCCGAGGGGAAAGGAGGGACCCTTAAGAAGGACCCCTACCCCATAATGGGCTACATAATGGGTATATAATAGCTATATTAAGGGTACATACCTAGGGGTCCTTATTAAGCGTCCCTCCTTTTCCCCTTGGATATAGAGGCCTTGATACTTTGTCTTGCGGTACATTCTACCATAATTATAATTAAGGAGCCCCAAAATTGCTTGGTAATTATTGAGGCCCTAAAGTATTTAGAGTTGACACCACCTTCATCAGAATCACCTGCGGCCGACGCATGAGGAGGTAGAGGCATCGATGTATTCATGCTTTCTTAGTGCAGCTTGCTGCTAAATACTGCCTTCCATTCAGGTTGATAGAAGGACAGTTAGTTTCCCGTGCACAATCCACCCTAACAGTATCTTCCTTGATGAGGTGGGTCCCGAAGGGATTTGCAGGCCAGATTCAGACGTCCTGAGTCCTGACTGTCAATTCTCCCGAAAGATCAACACAGTTTACAACGGAGTCTGCGACGGGATTCAACCGTGCTCCTTACAATTTCGCGACCTCCCCTCAGGGCAGACAATGTCGTCGGCCAGCTAGTTGAAGGGCAGATCGTCACAGGTCTGGAGGCTGGGCAGGGATGCCCAAAGCGACGATCCTTATCGACGTAACTTCTAGCGTTACCGGCATGGAGAGATTAGAGAGCCCAAGCACAGCAGAGATGGCAGTAGTGGTCAGTCACAGAGTGCGGCGTGTAGATATGCCTGCCTGTTAAGTCATATCTGAAGCCATGCGTTTGAGACCGTTGTTTATGCGCTCTGCCTTGCATAGCGGCAGCATCCGAAACAACAAGTCCGACATGTTTAGGTCAAAATGACTCCCAAGCTGTTGTGATCCGAACTTGCAAACCTGAGCTACAGTGATATGTATATACGTATGTATATGTACATATATGTATGCATGCATATCTATATATACACACATACATATGTATGTACATGTATATATAGGCATGTACACATGACAAAAAACATATCCAGCAAGCGTCCTGCAGCACAGGAGAAGGGTGACTGGGTCTTTCATGATGCTGGCGGCTGGTCGATTCGTTTTCATGGCGGCTTCGAGTGGTTGCGGCCCCTTAAGGAGCCCGAATGAGCTCTGGAAGACGCTCTGCCCTGTGCGTTTTCCGAAGATTTCTGCTTGCATCAAGGACCACGTCCGAAGTACCTACCACAACGGTTGATGATATGAATCCTGCATTACCTTAAGGGCCCTAAACTATGGGAATTATGGCATATTCCTTTCAAGGGAAATGCAGGATTTATATCATCAGCCGAAGTAATTACCAGCTATAGGCAGCTACGATAGGTGTGTGCTAAAAATACTTACCATAGGATGGCTACAAGGTGTCGTTCTCGGAAAAAATTCCGAGCACCCGAAACATTCCGGAACTATAAGTATAGGGTCCTTAGCCCTGAGCCGTGTTGAGGGATCCTTAGATTTTAGAATGCCTTCAATTGGAAGGCAAGATGGAGCCGCTTGTACATAAGCCAAGGATGGCTTGGAGCCACAAAAAGTCTGAACCCAGACAGCCCAATGCCCCTTAACTTCGAAAGATGCCTTAACTGATCGTAAAAAACACCCGATGATACTGCTTGAATCGAGGAGTATGCCTAATCTTCTTTTTCTCATAGGGGCCCAAACCTGGTCTCCTTCAGCCTCCCTCCTGCTTCGTTAGATGGTTCTGCTTCGGCTTGGGGATTGCTTCAACTGCTCTCACTCACAAACACTCTTTTGTCGCATCGCAGCATGAGTCGCACATGCTTCGGCCCTCTCCCCACACATGCTGCAGCTGCAAAGTTGTGTTGTTCTTATGCCCTAGTGTGTTCTGGCTGCTGCAGCACGTGATCTCAAGAGACTCTCTGTCTCTTGTTCGATGCAAGATGCTTGCTTGCATCAGAAGCCCAACACCAGCAGATATAGTAAGCTTGGCTCTGGGATCGATGTCGCGGGACCATTTGCGATCCGAGCTTGATTGCCTCGTCGATCTGCGTCGACTCGAGAGAGCTGTTGTAGCTGGCAGCACAGTATCCCCTGCAGATTGTGTAGAGGAACGCTTCCATGGATTGCGGGTTTATGTTTCATAGAAGCCTATGCCCCCCAAAAAAAAACTGGATTCTGAAATCATGGCGCGAAACTTGCCTTTGAAGACACCAGCACTCAATCTCGCCTGAAAATGGGGCAAGGTCTTGTCCTTCGTCACAGCATGAGCCATCGAGATGCCCTCGGGCATCGGATACTTGGTGCTGAGGTACTCCGGGATCGTAGATGCATTCACCAGAAGCCTTCGGCTCTCCGCCTCCCGGGCTCCGGCGCCCGCACTGTCCGCCGCTGGCTCACCTCCGCCCTCAGTTTGAGCGGCCTCTGTGGATTAAAGATTGGAGGCTTTGTTTGGTTTAGCTCCTAAAGTAGAAAAAACCGCCCTCGCCTCTTCGTCTTCGGAGGCTTCTCCGGCTCTGCCGGCTTCGCCCGACCATCCACCGAAGTCGCCGGCTCGTCCTTCACCGCCTGGTCCCCGGACTTCTGGGAGGCGTTCTGATGCCGACGTTTCTTCTTCGGCACCACACGAGCAAACACTTCCAAGACTGTGTCCTCGTCCATAGTGAACTGGCCGATCTTCCGCACCGGGTGGTGGATCTGGTGGTTCTCAGGCTCGGCCTCCTTTGTCGGCTCCTTCTCAGCCGGCTCGTCATGGTTGTCCTCATGGATCTCCGCCTTCTCCTTCGTCTCGGTCGCCTCGTTCTTGGCCAGTACCTTAGATCTCACCTTCGGCTTCGGATCCTGGAACTTCTTGGGAAGCGAAGGCCCTGGCTCACAGGTGGCTTCCTCCTTGTCCTCCTCCTCGTCCACGGCTTCCTCTGAGAAGTGCTCGCCGTCCTTGTGGATCGTGCCCTCCTCCTTTTTGACAGGCGGCACCGACTGCGGCTCAGACGGCTGAGGAGCCGCACCAGCAACCGCCCCGGCACCTTTGCCGCCAGCACCAATGCCACCGAGCTCCGAAACGGCAGCTGCTGCAGCAGCAGCTGCAGCTGAGTTCACCGTCTGCAGAAAGTTGGCCGGGAAGTTCGCACCCAAGTTCTGGCCCAAGCCGGAGCCGAAGCCTGGCATGCCACCGCCAATCCCAGGCATTAACCCAGCCCCGAGACAGGGAAAAGCCGGTGGCTGCTGCTGCTGCTGCATCTGTGGTGCACCACCACAGCCCAGAGCCTGAGCAGCCTGCAAGGCTGCCAGATTTGCCAGCACCTGCTCGTTGAAGGATTGCATGGTCACGGCAACGGCGAGCTCTAGAGACACTGGCTTTATTTCTTATTCCTTTGAAAATGCATGTGCAGGACATGTCTGGAGCAACTGCAGGAGTCACTTGGAAGAGGTGCTTGCCAATGGTTGACGAGTGCTCATGCAAATGAATCGGTCAAGGAAGAACTCACCAGCTCCTCCTGTCACTGACTGTTTAGAGCAAGCAGCCAACACCGAATGCATGACACTGTTGTACCTGCGTGCCTCTGCCTCCAAGCAAACAAAGCTAGCAGGAAGGAGCTGTGATGCATGCACACCAGATGCAAAAAGACTGATACACTTGTCTTTTTCCATCACATGAAGGATCCTGCCAAAAGCTTTGCAGACTACACATGCCTGGCATTTTTGCCACTTCTCTCAGCGGCTTCTGCACGACCCTTGCCACCGGTCTTGTGCCCAGTCTGCTTCCACTCCTTGTGGCACCAGTAGCAGTTATGATGCCCGTCAGCATGTACATCGCAGGAGTGGTCCCTGGCACACGGGTGTAGGCCACAGGTCGTACACATTACCCGGTATGGCCGGGCTGTCTGCTTGGCCAGCAGCTCCCTCTCCAGCTTCCTGAGCTCCTCCTCGCGGGCGTCCAAAGCTGCTTCCCGGTCGTTCAGCTCCGCGGTTCGCTGGTCCAGGTGAATCTCACGATCCAGCTGCCTCTTCTCCTTCTCACACTTGTGATCGTCGATCATTCGGCCCATCGCCTCCAGCATCGCCTGCATCTCATTGGGGAACTTCTGCAAAGGATCTGAGGAGGAACCGGCCATGCCGAGAGCAGCACAGGAGGGCTAAGGCTGTGGGAAGCTTTCTCAGGGCCCAAAATGTCTTCGGGGCAGAGCGATGGCTTGGCACAAGAATGGTCTCTGCTGCGACATGCGGCACTACCTTCTGCAGCCTGTGCAAGTGATACCAGAGCGACAAAACCCAACAGCAAAGGCATCGGTCCTTCTTCAATCTCTTCATGAGGTCGTTGTAGGATGCGTGAATATGCTCGTCCACCAAGTTCTTCTTCCTGCGTAAGTGAAGCGAATCAAGTTTAAGGACCCCACTTCTTAGTCCTTATGTTTTTATTTCTTATGGGTTGGAAGCAAACCTTGCACTTCTGTGGGTCCTCTTGTAAGACTTGAAGAGGCTTTTCAGCAGGGAAGTCACATCAGACAAAGTCTTGGCATTGGAGATCGTCACATCCGTCAGGTTCTTGCCGATAACTTGGTTGCAGAGCAAGAGATTGAAAACATCGTAGCAGGAGAGTGCAAGAACAAAAGCAACATCATCCGAGTTGCGGAGATGGCCAACCTCGGACAATCGTTGCCTCCAGCACCCAGTAGCCGCGGCAACCTTCTCAAACACTGATTTACTTGTTATGCAAGGAATGAATGACTGAAAGCCTGCACACATGATTGGAAAAGCTCTGACCCTTGAACCTGTTGCAGAGCATCCGTCTTCCCCTTCTCGTCCCTCGACTTTCTGAGTCGGCGATGGGTGTCATTCATCATGGCCTCCTCGGGTTGCAAAAGGAAAGAAGCTCATTGCAACAACACGGAACAGCAGAGCCTGAAAACCCTATCATCTGCTGCTCAGTCACATATTCACCACCAATTGCCAGCAAATCGGATGCTATCACAAACGGAGCCACATTGGACAAAGACACAGCAATCTGTTTGCATGTCAGGTCGTCCAAACGACCCTGCCGTGCAGCTCGTGTGAACTCTTTGGGCGGCAGGGCAAAGATGCTCATGAGGTCGTTGTAGTCCTCGTCCTGTGACCTGTGGCTCTCCGAAGAGGAGCCTCGGGTTCACCAATGAGGCTGCGGAAGCTTGCAGTAAGAAGGGACAGCTGGAAAACCGTGAGAACCTGGTTTGAAACCCTTGGAATCATTGACAAGCAGCTTCTCTTGCGCTTCTTCTTGTCCTTCTTGCGACTGCCGCCCTCGACCTCCTTGGTGTCAAAGCCGCCTTGGGTTCAGCTCCCGGGATGAAATAGACTCGCCAGAAGCAATCCATAGTTGTAGAACCCCAACAAAGTGGAAACAGAATCCCTTCAGCATAAAAGACTCTCCTCGAACAAGGAACCCGTAGACAAAGCCTTTGCGAGACGATTGTGAGCCGAGCTCATGAGAAATGTGCCCGCTGCTTTTGCCTCGGCCTCGTCCTCTGGATCTGGCAGGGATCGGCTGGAAAAGCTCCTGACCAGGAGAACTTTTTTATGAATGTTGAAAAGGGCAATCAAGGCTCGCTAGGGCTGTGATCGGAGAGAAACCAACACTGAAGTGTGCTTTTCTGAGAGCTCCAAAGATATATAGACAATGCGGGAAACAGGAACACATGCAAGCTTTATATCCTTCGCCTGAGAACAGAGGGAGGGATGCAGACCCAAGGGGACACGAAAAAACAAACAGCAGGACTAGATGTGGCATCAGCAAAAGACAGATTCAAGTACAACACAAACAAGGACGAGAACAAGCAGGAGAGAGTCACAGAGAAAATGGGGTATGGAGAGAGAATTGAAACCGTGATCTGGTACCGGCAACAGACACGACAGCCCCAATGGGTCCTGGTCGGGACCCTTCGCATCGCAACGGAGAGTGGCTGCACTACCAAGGCACTTGTTTGATGCCGAGAAGTTGCTATGCAAGCAGAGCAAGTGATGGCGGCGGCGAAGCAGGCAGATGTTGAGAAGCTATGCAAAGAATTGAAGCTTCAGCTGCAGACTGAGTGCAGGAAAACTGCAGGTGCAGAGTGAATGCTTGGAAGCGAGAGTCACCGCGGCAAGGCCGCGAGCTTGCTGATGCAGGCTGTTTGAAAGATGCGGCCGAAGGTGCAGAATGGTCCTTGTTTTGAAACTCTGCCCGTCCGCTCCAGTCCAGTCGCAGCTGTTCATATTGGAAGGCAGCAGATCACTCCATATCCTGAGATGAAAAAAACAGAAGGGCTGTGCCAAGACATTGCACCGCCACAGGACCCAAAACTAAAAGGTGGGACAAGCTGCCAGCACCTCCCATCCATTCATCATCCACTCGTTGCCTTGAGCTGCAGCCTGCTGGAGGGTGGTTTATTGTTGTTTTGTGAAAGGTAAAACCGGCTATGTGGGGGCCTGGGCAAGGCGAGAATCTGTGTGGCTTGCAAGTGCAGTCTAGAGCCGGCCAAAAGACCGCCACCACAGAAAAGTCATCTAAATCCACTGGCATTCTTGACAAGCTGCAGCAGCTTCCTGTGCCGGAGGCACAAACTCGAAGGGCATCGGAGGCTCCATGTCCTGGACCTGCGACCCAGAGAGTAGTTGCAAACAGACTATTGCTAGTCAGACGATCACCGAAATCCTAAATGGAGCATCACATGCTTTCATCTTCACCCCAAGCAAAGAGTTTGGATACAATGACAGAGAACACCGATAAGTAGCCATCCCTGCCTGCAGAGCCCGCAAACGAAGCAGGCTCATTCGGCTGGTTCTCGCGTCGAAATTCGTTTGGACGGTCGCGGCCATCCACTGTCGGTCATCTCTGTCCTCGGAAAAGTATACGGCCCCTGTTGTTGCCAGGACCCTCAAAAGATACTTGATGCAACATGACACTGCCAAAGGTGGTGCAGGCATGACTCCAGGCCCACCAGCAAAGCGGCGATAGCTTGCTGCATCCGGGGCGTACATTCCAAGAGCTCATTCCAGGAAACCACATACTGCCTGCCGTAAAGGATCTTCGAGACCTGAAACAGACTCCTGTCTGGATCTATTGGAACACAAAGCCAGAGCTACAGCCACAGAACCGAAAGCTGGAAGTCGCTCTCCCTTGTCCAAGACAAGAAGCGGCCAGTCCAAAAGTCCTCGTGTACCGGGCACCGCCGCCAACCATGCCCACAGCCCCAGCCAAGCCAGCATCCCCGGCACGGGTGCCGCAACGTCTGAAGTACCTGGTGTCGTTGAGGTTGGTGATTCTTGTGTGTTTTGGTACTGCGTGCGATTTTGCTATGGTGTCTGTGATGTTGCTTTGTAATATTGTGCCTTTTCCTTGCTGCTGCGGCTTCTGCTGCTACTGCTGCAGATGCTGTTGCTCTTGCTCTTGCTGCTGCTCCTACACCTGCTACTAATCATGTGGTTCCTCTTGCAACAGACTGCCGTTGCAGCTGAGTTGTTGTCATGCTTTTGCTGCTGTTGGTGTTGTGGTTGTTTGTTGTGGTTGCGGTTGTTGTCCCTATTAATCTACTCATCCTGTTCGAAGAATCATATTGTCGTGTTGTTCTTCTTGTTATTGTTATTAGTTATATTGGTATTGCTGTTCCTAGCCTAGGGTGGGTGGTGGTATGGTTGTTAACCTGTTCTTGTTATTGGTATGTTCTTATTATCTCTCTCCTGGCTGTTGTGCAACTAGCGATTATTACTACATGTGTTGTCGTCTTCTTGCTCTTATCCACCCTACTTGCGTGGTTGTGATTGCTCATGACTCCAAGAGGAGCTGCAAAGCCAAGGTGCACATTCCTTAGATCCATATTCAGAGACAAGCACTTCAAAAATCGCAGAACGTAGACGTCGCTGCCCACCAGCTGCATCATGCTCCTCGGCTCTCGATTCAATCATGCCCATGGATACATGTCCATACTTGCTTCTTGTACCCTCGGCAAAAGCAGAAGCATTCAGTGTTGGCGCCACAAAAAAACAAGCCGAGATTCACTCTGCTGTCAGCGAAGGAGCCCATGGCGATCGTCTCCCTCTGAAGACCACAGGCGTCGATGGTGGCCTCGATTGCAACAGCAAGCTGAGAACACAAGGCAAAGCATGTATGACTGCAAGAGAATCAGCATCAACAAAACAACAATACCGACAAAAAGAAACAACACCAGCAAGAGCAACAACACGAACAAGAACAAGAATAAGGAACACACCAACAAAGGCAACAACTACAACCATCATTCATAACCTACAGTTGCAGATGTGACAGACAAAACCCTCACCATCGGCGAGGGGTACAACTTGAGCCACCTGCACAAGCAGAGGCTCCATCAATCTGAATGTGCAACGACAACAACCTGGAACAAGCAGCATGCCGTGAGGACAACACACTTTCAGGGTTGATGCGAACAATCGGAGCCGAGATGCGAGAAAGTCTGACGTTGCGAACATGTGCGAATGCTGCGGCTGCTCGACGATGGAGAAGGCCCTCACGTTGAAGCACAGCTGCACAAGCTGACTCATCAAAGCCTGAGTTCGCTTAGCGTCCAATGAGAAACCCCTGGCTTCGCCTTGCAAATTGCTTCCAGATATTCTAAAGTCTAATTGTAGCAAGAGACGGCCACACCATTCCCCTGCACCACCAAAGGTACACTCAAATCGCCATCGGCAAAGTCATGCCTCCGCCTTGGATTTCCAGGGTGACACTGCTGCTTCCATGCGGGTCTATCACAAGCTACGAAACCCAAAGCCAAGCGGCGTCACTCGGAACCGCTCCCGCATGAAGGAGGCATGGTATGGCGACAGAAAGCAGAGTCCTCCCACCCGAAGCCGCAAAATGTATCCAAGACCTTGGCTTGGTGGGAACACAGTGCACAAGATCGCAAGTTTACTTCAGTGGTTCCTGTCTGCCGAGCAGCACTCCATAAGCTGCTCCTCGCTGCCCAGGTCGCCATAAACAAGAGCTGTACGGATCCCATCCTGGGCTGTATGATTCGGTGTCGCTCCCAACAATAAATTTGTTGAGGAACCACAGACCACAGACCCAACATAATATCAGTGTCAAAAGCAACATCAACAAGGAGAACAACGACGACTGCACAAGCCCTCATCGATCATCATCGTCAACACCAAGAACAAAATCCAGGTCTACCCCTACCACTACCACTACCACTGCCCCTAGCACCAGCACTATTGGCGGGACTGGCACTACCACTATTATCACTTGCACCGGGACTAGTATAGACGTGCTAGTACTACCAATGGCTGTTACTAGCACTGCTGCCACTGCTCCTCGTGCTAGGACGACTACTACAACTTCTGCTACTAGAGCTAATACTACTATGACTACTATTTCTAGTACTAGTGCTAGTACTAGTAGTTCTACTATTGGTACTATTACTACTACAACAACAACAACTTCTACTACTTCGACGACGACTGCTACATCAAAACAAGACCCAACTCGACTTCCGAAGTAGTGGGCACTACTATACATAACGAGATCTTCAGCAACGGCAACCAACAACTGCAAAGACAATGCCAACATCACGAGCACTACGACCACTGCAGCCACTGGCACTGACTCAAATGACACACCCAATTCAGTAAATCCTTAAAATGGCGGATCATCCGCGAGCTTGGAGCCTGCAGAAGATGTTTCCGCGGATACTCCGCGACTGCTGTCTGTGCAAGGCAAACCACCCCCGGATCTCATTATGAATCGCGGACAGTCCGCGTAGATGTGAGTCTCGCGGCTGTGCCGCGTGAATGAGAGATTCGCGGACAGTCCGCGTGATTGTGAGATTCGCGGATAGTCCGCTTGATAGCAGAAGATGTGCGGAGGTTCCGCAACAAGTTGAAAGCAGACCTCCCCACCCACCCAATTCTCCCATTGGTCTCCAATTCAGTCAAGGCTCGGAGGCCTCGAAGTAGCTGCAGAGCTCCCTCTTGCCATGCTCGAAGCACACGTGCAGAAAGTCCAGATTCCTGCCCTCGCCACGCAGCTGGAGCATATGGATCTTTGGCCGCCAAGCCGGCGGCAAACCATGAAACAGCACCGCATCCTCCATCCCTTCTACTTTCAAGCACTCGCGGCTGAAGCACTCCACAAGGTTACTGCAAAGCAAGCCCAAGTTGAAGCAGAACCATGAAATGAAGTAGAACGGCTCTCGAAGGAGACCAGGTTTGGGCCCCTATGATTTTCTCGTGCAAATCAGTATTTTGCATGTACTTTCAAGTATATTCCTTCATTAGGGTCGTGGGCTGCCCTGGGATAGCTCCGCCGCGGCTGTGAAAAAGAGCTTGCCCGGCTTGCCCTGCGGTTTTCGCCTTCAAAAACCACCGGGGCCCCTCCCAAAGGGTCCAAGGTACCCTTCTGGGGAGTACTTCCCCAAATCACAGTGGTAATTCCTCATATGAAGACCCTACATTCTACTATATTATAGGTACTTTGA